GCAGAGATTTACTCTCAAGAGCCACTGTTCATCTAAGAATCGAGCTGAATCCTGAATTAGTGACCACAGAATTCCTTCAGRAAAAACGTGTCTGTTCCTCAGGTTCAGATCCAAGGCCTGCCGTGACTATCCAAGTAGGAGATGCAATGATTATTACCACATGTGCTGTCCTGCCATCCAGGATAGGGGCTGTCTCTACAGCCTTTACTGGCTGGTACGTCCTTCTCCCAAACTGTCYCTTTCAGACTAGACCTTGCAATGGCGGTCACTGTATGGTGAGAAGTCAGACACCTCTATTYAGTAACTCCTTGAGGAATGAGAAATTTTTCCCTATGCTTAAAGCATAAGGTTGGACAAGTGGGCCTGGATTTGCAAGTCCAGCCTATAATAGCAGAGAACTCAGTGGCAGGGATAATGCAGGTTGGTCACTCTGTCAAGCTGAAGTGACAGTTCACATTAAACAAATTTTCCAAGAGTTGAAAATTGATTACATATTAATGAAACACTCATCAGGGCAAATGACAAACCAAGACTATATATTTCTAATATCACTCAAACGACATTCCTGCAGCCTTTCTGCTCCCCATGCTAACTGTCACCATAATACAATCAGACTACAAAGCTGAGCAATCACAGAACACTCCTGCTAAGTTTACTTCAWCTTCCTGAGCAGAGATAATGTCATTCCCGCTTCCTCTGAAGYACAGAACAGAGACTAAGTAGAATTGTGGGGAAAAATATAATGCACTTGCAATAGCAATAGTAATAGTAATGCGCTTTTTGATTCTAAAAGAAAGAGGTAGAGATATTATGAAAGCAAAGCTTGGCTTTTCTGTAAAACTATTTAATAAGTTTCCTGCTAGCTTTTTATTCTTGTTTTGAATATTAGCAAACTCCATAGTAAACCACCAGCTGGCACAAGAAGCAAGCACAGCATGGAAACAAAGTCACTTCTAGCCTGCCCTGCGGCAGATATTTATTTGCACACACTAGGGATGCCAATTTAAGAGCTATTTGCCAATACGTTCTATAATGTTTTCTGAGTGACACTAAATGGAATGTTTATTTTATATTCCAYGGATGGTTTAATGCATGTTTAAGAACAAGAAAGCACCTTAAAAGCCTGTTCAAGGGAAGAAAAAAAAATAAGAAAATACCAAAAAAGGTAAACTGTGTCTGATTGTTTACTGTGTTTGAGGAAGGGGTTTATTTGTTTCTTTTGAGACTTGCTGAACAGTAAAGAAGCTGTTTCTATGTCACTGGGYGCAAGACCACAAGGGTAACAAGAAATGCCTCACTGTCTTATTTGACTCTTTCCTAACGCTGCTCAAACAATCTGTTCCTGACAGTGAGGTTAACCCTAACAGATAAAATTGAACAGCCTGGCTTTCTATTTTAAATGTGAAATGTATGTAATGTCTGCTAAGGAACCATAACAAGATCTTGCCTCTTAATTGAGGTGGGTTCAGTCACAGAGGTACARATTCGCACAGGGTGCTCTCACTGCTCACCCAAGGCTTTTACTTGAGCAACATAGCAAAGGCACAGAAATCTGGAACAAACACTTACAACCTGTCAAACATGTGCAAAATAACAATCTCAAAATTGCTGGCCACTTTCTTTCATAACCCAGGACYACACAAGGGACTAACACAAGACCAAAAGCTACCACTTTTGGTGGTACCACAAAACCACCGCCCTGTCCCTTTCTGCACATGCCACACAGGTCAGTGTTTTTAATAAACACCCCACTTCCAAGTGTCCTATTTCCCATTCTCAAGACCTCATTTTTCAGGGAAACTGAGAATCTGATGAACCCATTCCCTTCAGTCTGCTGCAGAAAAGTTGGCTTATGCCTTTCCATAATTCCACATAATTCACAAAATACTGTTGAGCTCAGTCATGCATAACATTTCAGATCTGAAAGGAATGGTTTTTTTTAAAGTACTCTACAAATATACCTATTGTTATTTCCAAGGTTGCCTTGGGAGCACAAAGATCCCGACATAAAACACTGTTTTAAGACTTTGAACATTGAAACACTGAAATTTCTTATTAATGTCCACAAAGATACAAAAGCCTAAAGGGGTTTATAAATAAGGCTAGATCAAGTCAAACAATTAATCTGAAAGGYCACAGACTTCAATTCTTATGGTCAACCCAACTTTGACATATTTTTACCTATCAGATGGCTGGAGATAGCTGGAGGCAGAAGTCACCTGGATAAAGGAAAAAAAGAGTGTAATAAAGCAAGAAACTAATGCTACAGGCAAAAAGAAGAGCAGGCAACCCTCACATAAGGGAGAAGAAGAAGAAAAAAACAATTGATCACCAAGGACTTGAAGAACATGGAGTCATGAAAGCAGAGGAAGAGCTGCAAATGACACATGGTGAAAGGGAACAGGTGTATAGGTAAGTATCTCAGCTTTGAGAACAATCTCAGGAARAAAATTTTCAAAGGGAGCAGTGAAAAACCTAAGAGGCAGAGCAGAATAAAGCAATACAGAAGAAACAGAGGAATAAAAAGCACAGGRACAGGTGAAAAGAGTGTATTACTAYAGAATAAGTCGTGCCAGGAACTGGAATCTAAACCTTGACTCATCGATTAGTTTTACAGTGGCCACAATTGGACACTAGATACCAAAGGCCCTGGCTGGGCAATGAGTAGTCATTCACCCCTACACTGTCACAGCCACTGAGATGTCATCTGTATTCTGAGTAAGGAAAATGAGGCAAAATTCAGATTCAGAGCCAGCTAGTCAACCACACAATTCCTCCACTGCAAGAATATTCTAGCAGATAAAAGGATGTGAAACAGCAATCAGATTTAACAAGCTCAAGGCAAATAGACGAAATGAAATGCAGGACAAGTTAAAATTATTGCCTTTTCAGTTATTGCAATGAAAGCTATATGAAAAGCCAAATATCCTCAGAGTTTAAACAGTTTAAGATGTTTCAAGAGCTTAAAAATAAAATGAATGCCTTTACAGMACATTAATTAAGTTTTTCAAATAACATGTCAATCCAAGCCTCTCCATTTCAGAGTATTTGAGATAATGGCTACTGAAAATGATTGAAAATATTTTTGTGGACATTCTGAAAATAAAAGAAACCAAAATTTGAAGCAAGCCTGTCATTCCTGGGTAGTTTGCATCAGTATTAATGGTGGGTTTTTTTACAATTTTAGCATAAAAATTATCTAGGACTGGATATGCATTTTGGTTCTGAGTTTATATTGTTTGAAAACTTTATAAAGCCCTTCATCTTGATTTATAATAGGACCCAGTAGAGGATTAGAAACGCCCTTAACAAAAGGTTTTTATCAGCCATCATCTGCTTTTAMATCAAACACTTTTGATAATCCAGTACTAGATGAAATCCAGGAATTAATCTGAGTTTTTCATCCTAAAAGTGGATGCATGCAAACATATCCACACAGAGCCCAAAGRAATACATGAGGTCCCACAGACACAGACCCCACAGCACAGTAGGGTTAGGGCCAGGAAGGGTTGCAAATGACTCCACTTCATTGCTTGAGCTGAGCAAAGTTCAAATAGCAAACCAAAAGGAAAGTGACAAAACTAAGAAGTGGATATAACTGAGAGAATTTTTTTAAACTTTGTAAGAAAAAATATTTCATGCTGTCTGCTCARTGTCCCTGGGAGATCCTATGGCAGTCTGGAGACACCTTCAGTGCACTAGAACCTGCCTTGGAAGGGGTGTTGTATGCTGGAAGCGTGACGAAATGGCCTGGCAATAATGTCTGAGRACTTCATAGACTCACAGGGTTGAACAGTATGGTGACAGTGAGGGGCACTTCAGCTTTGGCACATGCTGGTTTGAACATCTGTGTAATGTCACCGAATTCACAGGGCRTCATGGGCAGGTGACACTACGCCCCAGTGAAGAAACAGGGTGACATGACATGCAGTCAGGCCGTCAGCAGGGCCAAGAGGAGCTGTGCAGACTCCACTGCTGCAGTCAGCTCTGTGGGTTACAGCACTGTGGGGCAGCCTAAGTTCTAAGTACAAACCCTTAGCTCTGCTGGGTGTTTTGCAGGGTGACAAGCTGACTACAACCCTGMAGTGTGCCTGTGCTGCCAGGAGGGCCAGTGGTACCCTGGGGTGTTGTTGGGAAGAGTGTGGCCAGCAGGTCAAGAGAGGTGATCCCCCCACCTTCACTTGGCCCTAGTTGAGTGCTGTGTCCCATTCTGGTCTCCTCAGCACATCCAGAATGCTGTGTCCAGTTCTGGTCTCCTTGGCATCAGAAAAATGAGGAGCTACTGGAGAAGGTCCGACAGAGGCCACAATGATTTTGGGTACAAAGTGTATCTTTTACGAGAAGAAACTGTATGTCTTTGTGCATGCACTGCTGGGCCTGTGCCTGGAGAAGACTGAGAGGGGATCTCATTAATGCATACAAACAWCTCAAAGGTGAGTGCCAAGGTGAYGGTGCCAGTCCCTTTTCAGTGGTGCCCAGCAACAGGAAAAGGAGCAGTGTCCACAAACTMAAACACAAAAAGGTCCACCCCGACAGGAGGAAGAACCTTGCTATGTTAAGGATGGCAGARCACTGGAACAGCTGCACAGGGAGATCGTGGAGTCTCCTCTCCGGAGACATTCAAACCCCACCTGGATGTGTTCCTGTGACACCTGCTCCAGGYGACCCTGCCTTGGCAGAGGGGTTGGAGCGGGTGATCACCAGAGGTCCCTTCCAACTCCCACACTTCGGTGATTCTGTGAACCGGGAGGGAAATGTCTGCGGTGCACACTGTGACGCCATGTGTGGCTGTTTGGGGAGCGGCGACATCACCGCYGCTGTCACATCAGGACAGGGCTCAGAGCAGGAGCCGAGGGCAACAGGGTCACGGCGAGGCTGCACAGCGACGGTCCCTCTTGTGGGCCACCGCTGCCCGAGGAGCCGCAGTGACGACATTCGGGTGTGACGTCACGGTAACATCAGCACGGCGCTGCCACCACGGGAGCGCGGCACGTCCTTACCTGCCGGCGCTTGGCGGCCGCCTTGGGGGCCATGGCCGTCCCTCAGTGCAGCCGCCGCCCCTCACCGCCTCTCGCCGCGATCCCGCGCCCACCCGGCACGCCGGAAGTTGATATCGGCAGCCATGGCAACGCACCGGACGTGGCGGGTGGACCCGGCCATTCCTCTAACGCTCCTGCCCACMCCCCGAGGGAGGGAATGGTACATCCCAGCAGCCGCTGGAAACCGAGCTCTGCGGCCCAGAACGAGTGACAGCTGGTCCCGCCCGCTCATGAATATTCAAATCAGGGCGGGATCATAGCGGGGCTGTCATCTGTGTCCTGCCCGCTCATGAATATTCAATAAGGGGCGGGTCGCGGGGAAGAGCGCAGCCGGGTGCCGAACTAGCGCTTCGGACCACGCCCACCTACTGAATATCCAAACAAAGGCAAGGCCGCCGGGAGAGCAGCGTTCGGACACCGAATTGTTACACAGCAGCCCCGCCCTTCGTGAATATTCAAAAGGGGCGGGACAGAGGCGCCCAGCATCCGGGCCCCGATGGAGTGACAGTAGCCCCGCCCCCTCATGATTATTCATTTAGAGGAGGGGCGGTGGCCGGACCCGGAAGCGGCGCGGCTGAGTCACGGCGGCGGCGGCGATGAGGCAGCCGCAGCCGCGGGCGGTGTCGTTGTCATTGTCGCTGTCGCTGTCCCCTCTCGCCGCCTGAGGAGCCGTCCGCGCCCACCCGCCCTGCTCCCCGCGCTCCGCCCGCCGCGCCCGGCGCCGCCGCCACCATGATGGAGGAGATAGACCGGTTCCAGGTGCCCGCCGTGCGCGCCGAGATGCAGCCGCTGGTGAGGGGCGGGCGGGCGGGGCCGCGCTGTGCCCGGGTTGAAATGACCCCGGTGCCGAGAGGGTCGCGCACACGCCCCCGGGTGTCGGCGCTGCGGGCGCGGCGGTATCGCCGTTATATAACGGGGTGTCCTGGGCTCTGCCGCTGCCGCCATCCCCGGCGGGCCCGGGGCCGCTGCTGTGTCATCCCGGGCCATCCTCTTATCCTGCCCCCCCGTCCTCTTCTCCTCGTCCTCCTCCTCCTCCTCCTCCCCCGATGTGTCCCTGAGCGCCGTCGGTAGCAGAAGCGAGCGGGGGCGGGCGGGCGGCTCCGCTCCTGCCGCGGTGGAAACGCCGCTCCTCCCGGAGCATCGCGGGGTGATCTCCCGCTGCCGGGCACGGGAATGGCCCGGGGACGGGTGGGAAGCGGCGGAGGGASCGGGGAACCCTGGCAGAGCAACTGGAGGCGCTGAGGACTGGTGGGCTTTTGATTGACTTTTAGAAAATAGGTGAGATCTAGAGGAATCGGGCGGTGTTTGTGCCCGGGCTGGGAGCTGCGGGGAGCGATGCTCCCTGGGGACGGCCGAGCTGCACAGGGTGGATGTGAAGTTACACGCGATGTGAAGCCGCAGGATCTTCTCCGATGGTTTTATACCCATTCCGCTCTACACTAAGCTGCAGTGAGGAGATGCTCATCTTGTGTAAAGTCCAGGTGTTCTGCAAAGAAACATCTCTGTCAAATTAGCTTTGCTCACTGAAAATTCTTTGCGTGAGGAAAGCAATCTGTGAGGGTTTGATGCCGTGCCACGGCATGTGTTTTTCATATCAGGATGTTTTTTCACATCGTAGACATAATTATGCTCAATTAATGAGCTCTGAAGAGCCTGACATAATGGTTACAATACTACATGAGACCCTGGGGAATCTTTTCAGAGAAGGAAGTCTGCAGGCTCACAGGACTTTGCAGATATGTARGAGGGCAGTTAGAATGGTCTTGGGTTTTGATAGCTTCAGAAATGAGTCGTGAAGGAAGGCTAGCTGGCTGGCAGCCATGGGAGATGTTAGACTATCATCAAGTGGTGCAAGAGTTCTTATGAACATGTAGCTGCATTGCTTCGATGCCACAGGCTTGTGTATGTGTTGTGCCCCATCTGCCTACCAGAGAACTCTAGAATGTGTTTGCCCATTTCTGTTTTCTATGTGGAAGAGGCTCCCTTGAGTGTTCCCCTCCCTTTACTATGGTGTTCATCAGTCTCTGCCTGAAGGTGTGTTATTTGTAACCTGGGACCTGTTGAAATAAAGTTGTTTTTGGCATTAGAGTGAAAGATGGATAACCAACTCACTTGCTCAAGGTCTTGATTCCCTTTGGCCCCCAGAGTAAGTGATTCCCATCTCAGCATCTGATTGTGTGAGACAGGCATATGAAATGTTTGGGGAGGTGGAAAGAACTTTAATGAAATACTTGCAGTTACTTTTGGCAGCAGGTGAGGATAGGTTATTGACAGCTTTATGCTAGCACTGGAGCACTTCTGAGATTTCTAATATATCAAACCATACATTATTCAGAGTTGATTTAAACAAATCCTTGGTTCCTTGTTGCCTCTACTGTTTGTAAGAAGTTGAGAAYACAAAAAATGCCTTGTGAACAGAAAAGCTCTGCAAGGTCTACAGACTCAAATTATCCCTCGGTGGCAAGAAAAACATTTCTCCTATTGTGGGAGTGTTGACAGATTCTGAAAATATGCTTAGCCTGGGTTGGTTTTGTGGGTTTTTTGTTGGTATTTTTTTTGGCTTCCAGCCTTYGTGGTGGGGCAGAAAGCTGTCCATACTAGCTGATGTGGGCTTTTGCATGCTCCACTTATTGGTGGTGTTTTTATCAAGAAGACACAACAAATGTGACAAGAATGGCTGTCTTTTTTCCTGTTATTGTAGGCATAGTAGTGAAAGTAGCAAGTTTTTGAAAGCTGTTGCCAGACAAAACAATTCTCCTAAGTGTTTTCTAGAAACTCCATAATAATAGTGGAAGAATGGAATTTGCAGATACATGCATGTTTGCATGGACATGAACCAGGCAGAATCCAAGAAGCTTCTCTGGTCCAACCCTGTTGTCTCAGAATAGGATGGTGGATTGTGTAGCTTCAGTAGAAAGCTTGGGAAACAGGTTTACTTCAACATCCAAGAATTAGGAAATTTTCATGGAGGGTTTTAACACTTGAATTTAAAGAATACTTAAATCTGTGCTTCAGGGTTTCAGTTCTTTTCTAACTACCAGAGCTCGCAGTGAAACCTTGTGGTTTTTGGGGAGGCTGTTGCATTAACTGGGTGTGTAGGATTTTTCCACAGGCATGGAAATGCTGACAATGGTCTCGGAAGTGGGATGTAACAAGTCTGGTACATCATATCTGATGGTTTTCTSTGCTTTGTAGCTCCTGGATACTTGCTAGAATCGTTACATGTCTGGAGTTTTTCATATTAATTTTCTTGGGTAACACAGTTTTGGCCAATACTGTTGCTTTGTACCATTACCAYTTGTCTGTCACTCTCCCTCCCATCCTGTACTTTAAAGGTTGTTGTTTAAACCCAGTTAACAACTAAATCACTGACAGCCGCTTGCTCACTTCCCTCCCACATCAAGATGGGGGAGAGAATCAGACAAGTAAAAGTGAGAAAACTTGTGGGTTGAGATGAAGACAGTTTAATAAGTAAAGCTAAAGCCATGCACACAAGCAAAGCAAAACAAGGAATTAATCCATTTCCCATGGGCAGGCAGGTGTGTAGCCATCCCCAAAAACCAGGGAGGGCTCCATCACACCTGATGGCTACTTGGGAAGATAAATGCCATCACTCCCAAAATCCCCCCTTGTCCTTTGTCTCCACCCAGTTTTATATGCTGAGGATATGGTATTGCATACCCCTGTGGTCATTTGGGGTTAGCTGTCCCATCTGTGTCCCCTTTCAACCTCTTGTGCACCCCCAGGCTCCTGACTGATGGGGTGCAGTGAGGAGCAGAAAAGGCTTTGAGTCTGTTCAAGCACTGCTCAGCAATAACCAAAACATCCCTGTGTTATCAACACTGTTTTCAGCACAAATCCAAACTAGAGCCCTGTAGTGGCTACTGTGAAGAAAATGAACTTTCACCCCTGTCAGAATCAGCACAAAAGTACAGAATAACCTTATCATTCAGGACATACAGTCTTCCCATTTTAAAAGCTTTTGGTTGCAATGGTCTCAGGGAGAGATGCAACTGCCACTCTTTTCCACATCCAAAAAGCTGAAGTAAAAGTTTGTTTTCCAGCTGAGACCTACAAGTCTTTGTGACTTGCCACTGAAGCCATATTAAAAAAAATTCTAAACATTAGTCCTGATGAAAGCAAACACAATGTCCCTTGCTTGATTTATAGAGTATGCACTAGATTAAATATTTTTTCATCCTGTTCTAGAGGGGCAGGGTGTCCCAGGAAAGCACTCTTCCCTCAGAGTGCTGGACAGTGTGTGACAGGTCCTGAAATGAGGTTTGTGAAGCTGGCTTTGCTCAAAATCCTTAACTTTGTGTTGCTGACCATCATGCATGCTTTTTTGAATATCTGTTCATCTACACAGATAAAGTGTCATCTTAGCTTTTGATGTCTTTATACTGAACTCCAGGACAGCTGCTGCTGATCTGCCTGGAAACCATCTGACAGACCTGCTGGTCAAATCTTCAGAATTAAAAGACTGGCTTCTCTTCAGCGTGTAGCAGCTATACCTTTCTTAGAAAGCAGTCTGAAACCTTTCTGAACCCCTCTGCCTCCAGACCTSCCCGCTGACACTTGCACTATTTATTGATCAGCTGTCTGTTAGAGGTGATAGTGCATTAATGTCTGGTGTCTACTGACTGTACATCCTGACAATAACCAGTGCTTTACTCACAGAGCAGGGACAGAGAASCTGACATGGCTTTTTGCAAAACTAAGTTCTTTGAAGCTGAAATGTGTCTGGTTGCGGAACACTGTCTGTTTGACAGCCTTGTCCCACCAAGGCCTGCACTGGCTTCCCATTGCAAGGGTGAGGGCAGCACCCATCTAGTACAGGCCAGACAAAGCCTGCCAGGATCTCTGGTTGCTGCAAGTTTCTCTCTGCTGATAACAAGTCAGRTAGTGATTGTGTTGCAGAGCTGAGAAACATTTGGCTTGCAGGTTGCATGATGGCCAGGTTTGTCATATGTCCCCGTCTAGGCTTCACACTGGATGCAGCGATGTGAAATTAGTACTGTGGGCAGTCATTTCCTCCTCTCTCCAGCTTGTTTGGATAAGTATTGTGAAGTCAGGCAAGCTGGCTTGACTCTGTATGACCTCTATAAATGTGTTGTGARACGCATTTGGTGCAGACCCAAAGGAAAGGTTCAGCACAAGATGTAAAGAGGCAGAGTTGCTCTGGGTGGATGGACAGGATGGCATACAGAACCTGATTTAGCCTGGTTAAACATCATCCAGTTGTCAGATGGAATGGGGCCCAGTGTTTCACATCTTTGAAAGACACATTACTCTGTGTATTTTGATATTCTGGTACAATTCAATATGTATTCATTGTGAAAGAGAAGAACAGGMTGGTAACTGGCACTTGGTCCCATTCATGTTGTCTCTCTCCATGAAAATAGAATGATTTGTTCTGATCTACATTTCTATTCTTGTATATTGGTCACATTTGGCTTCTATCCTAAAAAGTCTGCCTTTTCAAATTAATAAAAACTAATTTAAAGGGTGATTTGTTTACTTCTAAAGCTTAGTGTCACGTCATCCTTAGAGACATGATGCAAGCTCAACTGCAGGAACTCTGTTCTGCTTAGATTCTGTTCAAATCCAACTCAACATGTCCCGATCCTTCTGCACTCACAGAAAGGGCTCTCTTCCTCAGCTGGTGGCTAGTGGGTTATTTTCAGATAAAGTCAATTCAGGGATGTGATGAGGCCTGAAATTAATTATTTCTGGGACACTTATACTTGGTAGATAGCTATCTTGGCTGATGGAGTTGGTATTTAATGTCC